GAATCTGAGAATCTTAACTTGATTTAGAAGTGAGAACAGGCTCTGGAAAATCAATGTGACATAAAGCAATTCTTAAGTGAAATTTTCCGACTGTATAGGACTTTGTAGCTCAGGAAAGAAGAACAGAAATACAACATACTGTATACTACATTTATACCTCAGAAACTGTTTGGGAGATACTGGGTATAAAATTCACATATTTGGAAGGTGCCTACTTTGGGGACTTCCTTCCTTCCTTCCTTCCTTCCTTCCTTCCTTCCTTCCTTCCTTCCTTCCTTCCTCCCTCCTTCCTTCCCTCTCTCCCTTGCTCCTTCCTTCCTTCCTTCCCTCCTTTCTTCCTTCCCTCCCTCCTTCTCTCCCTCCTTCCCTCTCCCCTTCCTTCCTTCTCTCCTTCCCTCTCTCCCTTGCTCCTTCCTTCCTTCCTTCCTTCCTTCCTTCCTTCCTTCCTTCCTTCCTTCCTTCCTTCCTTCAAAACCAAATGGGCCTCTGGCATTAAATTTTTAAAAAAATGTCTCCAAGCTCTTAGTGACTGTTATTTTGTTTCACAATGAAACTGGAGGAACAGGCTAACTTTACTACATGCCAACCTTCAGGGTATTTAGAAATGAACAAACAAAGAAAAAGAAGCATAGTGAGGAATCTGGTCGTTGCCCAAAGAGTGTAGGCAGGAACTTGGGTAATGGAACTTCAACTATGACCTCTAAATTTTCAGTAATGAGGTCAGAAATGGGCCTGATGGAAAGGAACGGAATCATTCTCCCTGGTACCTTGGTAACCAGGCAACCATTATGCTAAGCACATGCATCATTTGGACATGTGGCCTTAGGGACTAGAAGAATGTATATCCTGGTGTTCCTATATTAGCTTTGGGGCCTGTTCTGTATATATATGTACTGTACATACAGCACAACAGTTACATCCTAGAGGCTCATACATTTTCACTCATTTAAACGGTCTTTTAATTTTTCGGCTCTGCTTAATGATCTTTATCATACCGCTGAGGCAATGTTTTAGAGTTCCAGTATGCGTGGAATGAATTAGATTTCAACAAAAGTTCCATTTTAAATCTGCTTCCCCAAGTCTTCCACAACCGACTGTAAAAGCAATGCGTGGATGATATGATACACTCCTAAAACGGCATGACGTTAATCAAAGGGTTGTGATCAAAGTGGCACGCGGTATCATTTCCGGTGGCAGGGCCCAATTAATAATTCATGGTGGCCGAACATTTTTAAAAGGAAAATTTGAACCTTACGTAACGCTCTTTAAATTATTAATTGCAGTGTGGTATTATTGTCCATTGCCCCCCAGGATACATAAGAGGTTGCAGACATTGGAATTTAATTTTCTTTTTGTTATTTGCTGCGCAGTGGAAAACAATTGATTTATGAATCAATTATACTAAGGGCTGTGGGAAATAACACTGACCGAAAGAGTGTTAACATTGGGCAAAAAGTCATGAAGAAGCTTTCATTTATCTTTTTATTCACATTTTATTCGCATTTGGCCTTCTGACTAGATTAGAAGTCAATATTCCCTAGAACTTTCTAGATCAGCATTTCTCAAACATATTGGTGTCAGCCTCAGGACCCCTTTACATTGTTAAAAATGACTGAGGACCCCAAAAAGAGTATAGGTGATTTCTATGTATCAGTAGAATTATGTACAGGTAGTCCTCGACTTACAACAGTTCATTTAGTAACTGTTCAAAGTTATAACATCATTGAAAAAGGTGACTTATGATCATTTCTCAAACTGAGGACCTCAGGGTCACGTGATCAATATTTCAGATAGTTGGCCACCAATCCACACGTATGACGGTTGCGGGCTCCCAGGATCATGTGATCCCCTTTTGCGATCTCCTGGAAAGCAAAATCAATGGGGAAACAAGATTTACTTAACAATCGTGTTCCTAATTTAATAACTGCCGGGAATCACTTAACAATCGGGGCCAAGAAAGGTCGTAAAATGGGGCAAACCTCACTTAACAAAATGTCTTGTTTAGCAACATAAATCTTGGGCTCAAGTATGGACATAAGTTGAGGACTACCGGTATTAAAAATTAAGAAATTTGTATAGACTTGGTAGACCTGTGAAAAGGTCTTTTTCAATCTAAGATCCTCTGCCAGAGGCCTGGAAGTTTGAGGATTCTGCACAATATCTTCTTCTTTTTTTCTTGCTTGCTTTGCTTTCTTGCTTGCCTATATCCTGCCTTTATTATTTTTACAAATAACTCAAAGCAGTGGAACACACAATATTTCTTCCTCCTCCTATTTTCCCCCAGAATAACAACCCAAGGTGGATTGGGCTGACAGACTGGCCCAAAATTGGCTCTCATGACTAAAGTGGGACTTGAATACATGGTCTCCTGCTTTCTGGCCTAGTGCCTTAACCACTAAACTGGCTCTTTAGCTGTTACGTTGTTGGTTTGAGCTTTGAGCTTGGCAATTTGGCTGCCAAACATTTCGTCCCCCTTCGAGGAGATATCTTCAGTGCCAGGGGTGGGTTGCTACCAGTTCTCCCCGGTTCAGATGAACTGATAGCGGCGGTGGCAGGAGGCTCCGCCCACCTGCCCAGACGTCATCAAAAACACTCTGCGTACACGCAGAATCTGTGCACGCTCCCAATAGGGAACCGGTAGCACTGGGATTTGAATCCCACTACTGTTCAGTGCGCTTTGGATGTCTCCTTGAATGGGGACGATACATCTGCAACCAAATTGCCAAGCTCAGAGCTCAAACCAATAACATAACTACCAACCCGAGCTACTAATATTCAAACACATTTCTTTTAATTGTTCTTAGCACTGCATTCTTCTGAATAGAGAGCTCTGACATTGTTCTTGGGATTGTTGGAGCCATTGTTTTAGTTTATGAGTCATAGAACCCAAGAATCTCTCAGAGTGTCTCTAAGGGGCATCTATCATCACCACTGACTTCTTGCTTATTATCACAATGCCTGGATTATAGGCTACTACCTTCCTATCTATCTGGATCTAGAAGTCCCACAAGATCTTAGCCTTCTGATTCCCTCTGACTGTTTGTGGAGTCTCCTGTCTGGACTTGGGAGGATTTAGTCCAGAGGCCCTCAACCTTTTGGGCAGCAGGGACCGTGGAGAGAAGTTTTTACGTGGACCAGGGGGTGGTGGTGCGGTTTTGCATGCTGCCTGCATCCCATGGATGGGACTCCGCTTCAGTGGTGGGTTGCCCCCAGTTTGCACCGGTTCTATAGAACCAGTAGTAAAACTGGTGGGAGGCTCCGCCCACCGACCCCAACGTCATCAAAACGCTTCTGCGCATGCGCAGAAGAGAGAGAGAGCGTGTGCGGCCCCGCTACAAACCGGTAGTAAATATAAGTAGAACCCACCCCCGATCCACTTGTTTGTGTGGCCTGGTTTCTGGCATGCCACTGCCCAATGCTGGTCCATGGACCGGGGATTGGGAACCCATGATCTAGCCCGTACACTGTGCAGATATTCCGGTACATGATGCCAGCTGCATACATACAAACATGTATGTATGTATATGAATACTTTCTAAAGTATGCATCTTTTTTTAATCCTTGCATTTTTTCCTGCTTGATTGCTCATTACTTTTGCCCTTTAAAAAAAAAAAAAAAAAGTTTGGTCTATCACTATGCTTAATGTATGGACATCCCCAGCAAATCAAGATTATATAAAAAAAAGATGCTGTTTGTGCAGTAACACCATGACACAAATATCATCCTTATGAGAGGTGGTATTCAGCCGGTTCAGACCAGTTCAGCTGAACTGGTAGCGGAAATCATGGGTGCTCCCCCCCCCGCCCCCCTGGCTCTATGCCATCCTATTTAGGCACTTTTTTGAGGCCGGGCTCATGCACGGAAGGCGCGCGAGTGAGCAAAGCACATGCGTGGAAGACCGGTCGCATATGCAGAAGACGAACGTGTGCATGAAGTGAGCGGGAGCGGGCGGGATGAACCAGTGGTAACAAAATGTGAAACCCACCGCTGATCCTTATATATTTGCATCCCGATTTTACAGGATTTCTATCTTGACATCATCATGCATGCTTCCTTATTCTTCTCCATGAACCCATGGAGTATCGCGTATCAACACATGGCTAAACTCACATGGTCTTCCAAGATAAGCAAGGTCATGGCAGATAAGTAGCTACCAAACTGACTGCTAAGCTATGCCAGGACCCTAAACTAGGCTAAGGTCCTGGCATAGCCTAGGCTAGACTAGAATATTGAACAAATCCCAACAAATGTTTGCTTTGTTGCCAGGAAACATAAATGGCTATCTTCATGGAGTCATTAAGGGTCAAATTAATTTGAATATTAGTTTGAAATTAGTCAAACTAATTTGAATCATTGATTTGAATATTTTTTATTAAGGCTCTTTGTATAAGATAAGATGTATAAATTAAGAAGAACAGGTTACATTCTCAAATACTAGGACTTAGAAACTGGGCAACTCAAGAAAAACTTTACAGAAAGACTGTACATTATCTTAGTCTATCTCTTTGCCAGCCTATGAAAAAGTCTTGGAAATGTGCCTTGGGAAAGGTTGCCATCTGCTGATCGATATTGAGAATTTATGAAACATAAACTGAATCATATTTGCAGCCTTAGACATTAATTTCAGTAGAGGGATTAAGCTGTCTAACTTTTACTTATCACATACCTGGTCCACTTCATTCAAGAAAGCTGCTGAAGTTCTAAACAGGATTTTGATGTCACTCATGGGCTGAAGGAAAGGAACGATTTAAGATTAATCCAGACAAAACGGAGTGCTTGTATTTTAAATGGTAGTTTACTTTCTTGGAGACGCCAATAATTCTTAGGATGTATTCCTAAACTCAGCTGGCTCAATGTCCATGTTTTAGAGGGGATAAAGTGCACAGTTGCAGAGTAAAGTCAGAGCTAGTTGCAGTGATTTTTTTCCCAGATACCCATCAGAATTTTCACTTATGTTATCAGTTGTATAATAAATCTTGTTTCTCCTTCTATTTGCTTAGGAACTGGTGTGCCTACGTTCACACAAGGCTTCAGCCCACAATTGTGGTTGACAATGTACAAAGCTACAGCTCTGGGAGAGCCAAGCCATGCACTTGGATTACGGGATCCTGTGGAACAAGGTGTGTAATAGGATTTATATCACTGAGGTGCTTTTTAAATGTTGATTAGCTACATTAATGAAGAGTGTGAAAACTGCTTAGAAATATTCAATCCTCTTAGGCCAATCTGTAGGAAGAAAGAACCTGAAATACACAAAATACTCCATCCAAGGATGGGATAAAGGAAACTAATATTAAATGATGTTTCTGCTAAAGATTCTGGAAAAATTAAAGTTTTCTTAATGGTGGAACACAGAATAGTTACATATCAACCTTCCACCTATTTCAATCTAGTAATTGAGAAAAACTATCCAAAATTCCAGATAAGAAGGTATTTTTTAATGCTAGCTGGAGATGTTGAGGGTTGAACTTTGGACTTTCTGCATGGAAGGTACATGATTCTTCCTGTTCTTATACAAAACAATAACAACCGAGTACAATATCTTTAAATTATTAGTTTATAACTTGTTTTGACTAACTACTTATAAGCCAAGTTTTATTTTTCCAAGATATGTGCCACAGGATTTTAATAATTAATTTAATTTCACAAGAAGAATATAGCCCCCCAAAATGTAATAGTTATGCTACATTCATTTTCATAAACATTTGCTTGGTTAAATAATGGATTATTTGTTCAAATCATACGTATCTCCCTTAAAATAACTACAGAATAAAGTAAAAAGTTCATTACTCTCTTTCAATGTTCTGGCTGGATAATATAATTAATTTCTTTTAATTTCCTGTGTTTTTGTATGGATTTGTGTGGTGTTTGTGTGTTGGAATCGTAAAAGAAAAGCAAGGAGCTAGTGGAATAAACCCTTTCTCCTATAGGCATGCTTTTTCATTTTATATGTTAAGGGCTACAAACCAGTAGTTGATGGATTACTCTTACGTCTTTTGCTTTTAGTTTTTGGAATATGATACCTGCACAGCTTGATATAAGTGCTTCTAAGAATAGAATAGAATAGAATAGAATAGCAGAGTTGGAAGGGACCTTGGAGGTCTTGTAGTCCAACCCCCTGCTCAAGTAGGAAATCCTATACCATTTCAGACAAATGGTTATCCAATCTCTTCTTTAAAACTTCCAGTGTTGGAGCATCCACAACTTCTGGAGGCAAGTTGTTCCACTGATAGAGTAGAGTAGAGTAGAGTAGAGTAGAGTAGAGTAGAGTAGAGTAGAGTACAGTAGAGTACAGTAGAGTATTCTTTATTGGTCAAGTGAGATTGGAAAACCAAGGCATTTGTCTCTGGTGCATAAACTCTCAATATACATACAAACAACAAACTAAATATAATCATAAGATACCAATAGGAGAAGGTAGTAGAAAAGATGAGAAGGATAATAGTAACACATCCCTACTAGATGGGTAAATATCCATAAACATGAGACAGTACTGTAGGAATTAGGTATTCAGTAGAGTGATGGCACGAGGTGAAAAACCTGCCTCTGTATCTAGTTGTTCTGGCATTTCTGGATTATAATTAATGGTGTCAATATAGCACGATCTTAAATCTTTAATCATAAAGTTAGCCAACTATAAGAAGTTAGACTGTCATGGTCAGGCAGATTTTCCTTATCCACGTGTACCCTTTATTTGTAGAATGTCTGTGACCATTGTCTGGGAAGATATCTGATTAATTAAGAAGAATCAGATATCTGATTAATTAAGAATGAATTAAGAAAGATACCGGTATACATTCTATCAGTCACTCCAAGAAACAAACCTCAGTTTACCTATGAAAGGTGGCAAACACTAGCCAGAATAATATGAGGGATATCTATGGCTGCCTTTAAAGAAAAGAGAATGAACTAAACTAAATGAATTATTAAAGGGTTTAGATTTTTGACCCATATTCACCATTTTCTACTGAATATTATATGTGCTGTTTTCCTGCCTTGCCAATGGATATTTCCTATTTAAACTGTGCTTTGCAGCTGAAGTAATTCTTTCGCTATGCTTTGCGTAATAAACCCTTCCAGCTTTTATTGTATGTGTTTATTGCTTCTGACTCCGCAAACTGCTGCCCCTTTTTCAGTGTGCCAAAACCAGAATGTCTGTGAAAAAGTGTGTGTTAGAAAAGACAATTCAAACACGAAGTTGTGTAACACTATTACATTATGTAACATGTATAGGTGAAGTCTGTTTTCAGACAAGACTGAATTCTCTTCTGATTCAGCGATTGGACTAAGGCAAGATCATTTATGCCTTGGTATTGGAATGGCTGGTTGACAAATACAATGAGATTTTGCAGGCATCCATAGTCAATGAGTTTGTAGCTCCTCAGAATTTCATCTATTTTTCATCCAGCTCTTGTACAGTAATCTAAACTGACAAGGTTTTCTGGGCTAAGAAAGCTTGTAAATATCATCAGATCTAAACAGAACAGAGGGGCATTCACCTCCTCTGTGTTCAGAAGTGATATAATTTTTGCTGTCTAGGTTATTTCTGGTACCCAAGCTGCATATTGGCAACTCATGATTAAGGATGCTTTGTAGCTGATCTTGAATACAGATATGAATTCTTAACTTTGTTATTCATAAACTATCATTATTCATCAAGAAAGCTTATTTAGGAGCATTTGCACTTCCTAAATTTTCTCCAACCACCCTCAAACCAAGTTTTTTTTTTTAAAAAAAGTCTATTTTGAAAAAAAGGGTATTTTGGAAGTAGATAATAGAATAGAATAGAATAGAATAGAATAGAATAGAATAGAATAGAATAGAATAGAATAGAATATATATTTTTATTGGCCAAGTGTGATTGGACACACAAGGAATTTGTCTTGGTGCATATGCTCTCAGTGTACATAAAAGACAAGATATGTTCATCAAGAATCATAAGGTACAACACTTAATGATAGTCATAGGGTACAAATAAGCAATCAGGAAACAATATCAATATAAATCGTAAGGATACAAGCAACAAAGTTACAGTCATACAGTCATAAGTGAAAGGAGATGGGTGGTGGGAACGATGAGAAGATTAATAGCAGTGCAGACTTAGTAAATAGTTTGACAGTATTGAGGGAATTATTTGTTTAGCAGAGTGGTGGCGTTCGGGAAAAAAACTGTTATTGTGTCTAGTTGTTCTGGTGTGCAGTGCTCTATAGCATATAGATATATAGCTAAGTAACAATTCTCACACATTAAAAGATAAATCTAAAGCATAAATGAGTTAGAAGAGACTTAAGAAAAAATTGAAGTCTAGAAACAAAACTGATTTGCCTATCTTTACCTATGTGTTGGATGCTCTATTTTTAAGATTTCAACATCTTAAAAATAACAATTTTCTGCTTGGAGAATTTCCTGAAGTTGAAATGGATGGTCATTTGCCTTCCTTACCCAAGCATTTGGTAATTCTCAAGCCTCTTAAAAAGAGCAGTGTTTTCATTCAGTTTTCCTAAATCTAATACTAGTTTGGGAAAGATTTGTTTTAATTCTCCAAATGTGTATTTTCCAGGACCTTCAAACCTGTTTGTTCCATTTTCCACTAGGTGGCAGGCTGGCATATCTATAACATACGATTAAATTCCAGAAGCATTTTTTTTTAAAAATGTAATCCATCTCGTTTTATAAAACTCAAAACCATTTCAGTGTCCGTATCTTTGTTGCTGTGCCTGAAATACCCTTCATCTAAGATCAACAGCAAATTTAATTACATAGTCATTCAGCATTTGAAATATGCATGGACTTGTTTTCCTCAAACCGTTTCTGTTTTGAATCAGATCAGGCTGCAGTCTTAGTTTTAGCTCGGATATTCATGTAAGGCTCTGAAGACAATTGATTAACAATCCATGGCAATCCAAACACATTTCTTATTCTTAAATAACTGAATATATGTGAAAGGGATTTAAATGATGATCAGGGAAAAACCTTCTGAAATGCTGAAGTGTATTGAGGACATGAGTATTAGCGTCAAAATGTGCCTGGAATTCATAACATTCTTCCTTTAGCCAATATTAGCATTTTCTCCACTCACCACGCAGTAATTTGTTTCACAATGGTTGCTTATATTCTTACAAGATACAAATTCGATGGGAGACAAAGAAAAACAACCTATTAAATAGACAAGATTCTATAACCTCAAGAAATGATAGGAAATTAAAAAAAAAATCATGAACACGGTGACTTATAGAACTCACCTTTCTCTCCACCAAAGGTCTAGGCAGGGCGGAGTACAATAAGCAGTTTAAGAATTTTGAGAATATTTCATGGGTATTTTCACAATTTACTTTGTGCACAAAAGCATTTATCCATGACCAGAAGGCAAATGGTGAGTTTTGCTCTCTCTACCACTCAATCACATTTTCTTCCTTGGTATTTTGTTGGGAGAGTAGAAGTAGACATCTATCCCAGGAATGGCTATGATGCCTTCCTATAAAGAAATATGATACTGAGAGTGTTTCTTTGCTATGTAGCAAGGCTTTACTGCCTGCAATAAAAGCTTTCGTGAGGAGCGAAGAATCACGACCACACATTAAGTTCCATTTAAGCTGAGTTATTGCTCATGGCTAGGCACAAGAATCTAGTCAACTAATAGTCAGTGCTAAATTGGCGCTAGATAGGAGTTAATGGAATTTGAGAAGTAAGGCTGCTTGTGGGAACCTATTGATTCCAGGCTAATTCCTCTCTTGACTCTGCCCCCAGGCTCTGCCTGTCATTCTCCTACAGCAGGGGTGTCAAACTCAAAGCCTGCGGGCTGGATCGGGCCCTCGGGGTGCTTAGATCTGGCCCACGGGCCCACCCTGGAAACAGTGAAGGACCAGCCCGTGGTGCCTCTGCCAGCAAAAAGGAGCCTGGGTGGGCCGCATGTGGCCACCCCAAGCTCCATTTTTGCTGGCAGAGAGCTGCAGGAGGCCATCACGGCCGAAAACGGAGCCTCAATGAGTGACATCAAGCTGGCCATGCCCACCCTGGCCATGCCCCCTCTCACCCCCGAGGTCAAACACAACATTGATGTGGCCCTCAATGAAATCAAGTTTGACACCCCTGTCCTACAGCTTCAATTCTTAAAAATAAATGGATAAGTGGAATAAAAAATCTTTAAAAAACCCTTAAGGGAGGGAGCAAGGTTTGCAACTCATGTTCAGCCTTGTCCTACACAAAAGGCCTTAAAAACAGAAGATGGCATCTCTATTCCTGAAAATCTTTCCTCCATACTAGCAGAAGGTCCACTCACTGTTTGTTAACAGATAAAATCCTGGCTATTCCTTTTCCAGCACTTTACTTTCCAAGACATCCTTCGCTTCTTACTGCAATAATCTGTTCTTTAGTTGGGGAAATAGAAGTCTGCCATCTTTGTGCATGGCTCTTCCACACATAGCCAGACAATGTGGAGAAAAAAGGGAGGGTCATACATCCCTGATCATAAAAACTCCTTGATTTTTTTCTGTATGAAGTATTATGAGCCACAGTGGTGCAGTGGTTAGAGTGCAGTACTGCAGGCTACTTCTGCCGACTGCCGGCTGCCTGCAATTTGGCAGTTCAAATGTCACCAGACTCAAGGTTGACTCGGCTTTCCATCCTTTCGAGGTTGGTAAAATGTGGACCCAGATTGTTGGGGGAAATATGCTGACTCTGTAAACCGCTTAGAGAGGGCTGTAAAGCACTGTGTGAAGCGGTATCTGAATCTAAGTGCTATTGCTATTAATTTAAACTGAGTACTTTGTTCATTGCACAGAGTATACTTAGAATCATCCATACTATCTAGAACCTTGTGATGATGGAATCTTTATTTTCAGAGTAGATCCCAAATGCATGGCCAACTATGCGTAGGTTGTTGCTTGACTGCAAAATCCAAAGTCATCCTGAGTAGATCGCAATGATAAGAAAGAAGATGTAAATGTGAGCAAATCCCAGAAGGCAATTTGGTTGCGAAAATCTCCCCACTAATTAGATGTTACTCTAGCAACCCGAAAAGGTTTCTAGGGATTCACTTGAGCAGAAACTTTGAGTGGACATGAGTATTTCGGAACCAGATTTCATGCTCTTAATTACACACATTTGCATTGCATCTTATTCATAGTCATGCTGAAACCGAAGGCATAATTTTAACTTCTGGAAAAAATGGATATTTATTCAGTTTTGCTCTTAGCCTACTGCACTCCTTGCCTTCAGTGTAAGTGATGAAAATTCAAATAGGAATCTCAAGTGTAAGGGCTATAAATAAGATTACATTTGATATAATTTGCTTTTTAATGTATCATCCTCTCCTTATGGCAAGCTATTTTTGTAATATGCTATAATTATTACCCTTTCCTATAAAATTGATTCCTTTCTTCTGGGAGTGACTATTTTGATCTTGTATATTTCATAAAAGATAACACAGGTACCAGTTCTACCCACTGATTGTGGCTTCCAGAAAAAAAAAAATCCCTGATCTCAAAGTTGCCCATATATCTGGAGGTACCAAGACTGATGATGGAACATGATGGGAAATTAAAATGGCAAATTTCGACTGCTGAATGTTACTTTCAACTTCTAAATGAAATAGGAGTATGTTAAAGGTTTCTGAAGTTCTGGAGCTTCAGCAGTCTGCCAATAGGTACTTGGTGGGGAATCTAGACTGGACTGGACTGGACTGGACTGGACTAGACTAGACTAGACTAGACTAGACTAGACTAGAATAGAATTACAGAGTTGGAAGGGACCTTGGAGGTCTTCTAGTCCAACCCCCTACACAGGCAGGAAATCCTATACCATTTCAGACAAATGGTTATCCAATTTCTTCTTAAAAACTTCCAGTGTTGGAGTACCCACAACTTCTGGAGGCAAGTTGTTCCACTGATTAATTGTTCTCACTGTCAGGAAATTTCTCCTTAGTTCTAGGCTGGATCTCTCCTTGATTAGTTTCCACACATTGCTTCTTGCCTTTCCTTCAGGGGCTTTGGAGAATAGTTTGACTCCCTCTTCTTTGTGGCAGCCCCTGAGATATTGGAAGACTGCTATCATATCACCCCTAGTCCTTCTTTTCATCTAACTAGACATACCCAGTCCCTGCAATCATTCTTTATATGTTTGTTTTAGTCTCCAGTCCCCTAATCATCTATGCTGCTCTTCTCTGCACTCTTTCTAGGTCTCAGCACCTTTTTTACATTGTGGTGGCCAAAAGTGGATGCAGTATTCCAAGTCAAAATATTTTACTTGTTCTTACCAACATCTGTAAGGTGGGGTATATTTTGTGCTCAGGGCTTCATCTCAATTTAAGGAAAAGCAACACCATGATTATATTAACTGTAGTAACTATATTCAGTGAAGCTCATTTTGAGGGTGTCATAAAATAATGACAGAGGTGGGTTCACACAATACAAAAAAGTGAGGGTCCTTGGTGCTCTCTGAGCTTGGCTATTGTCTTGCAGATGTTTCATTACCCAGTTAGGCAACATCATCAGTGCTAAAAAAACAACCAAGCTCAGAAAGCACCAAGGACCCTTCATTTCAACCCTGAATGACAAATATTCTCCTTTATCGATAATGCAAAACAGTGATTTTTTTACTGTGATTCTTGTGATGACTAGATCTCTGTGCTTTAAGAAACAGAGCCTTTTTGATCAGAAAGTGATCAGAAACAGGGCCTTTTTGATTTGGCCCTCCGTCCCTAGGATTCTTCTTTCAAATGTTATTTTGTTTACTTCTCAGCATTGAGAGGAAATGCATTAGTTTTTTTTCAGTGTGATACCAATTCCACGGTTCATAAACGTGTCATTTTATTGCTCTACAATTTCTTACTTTTTCTTGGGAATTATTTCTGTTTCTCAGACATCGCTGAAAATTTTCCTCACAGAGCCGATGATCATATATACTTAAATAAATGCCTCCTCTCATTCATTTGTGCTCCTGAAATGTTTATTATTATTAGCTTTGACATGCCTTGATTCTGTCAAAAAGCATTTGCTTGTAGTCTTCCACAAGATGCAATCAATACACTTCAAAACTAATCCCCCTGTGGCCTATTACTGATCTATCATCCTATATCATGTCGCTTCACCCTGACCTCCCACTAATATCTGCTTTTCAAATCACCTTGCAGTTCCCAGTCAAGGACCCACCAAGTTTACAGGATCAAACATATGATAGTTACCTCACTGGAGTGGAAATGCTGTCCAGGATACAGTGGAGGAACATGCCAGCCAACAGGTATGGAAAATATTTAAATAATAATAACGACAAAAACCTTTTCTGATAATTAAAGTCAACTGGCTATCAAACTGGTGCAGAATAGAAAAGCTTCGTTGTTGTTAGTTGCAAAGTCGTGTCCGACCATCGCGACCCCATGGAAAATGTTCCTCCAGGCCTTCCTGTCCTCTATCATCTTCTGGAGTCCATTTAAGCTCACGCCTACTCTTCAGTGACTCCATCCAGTCACCTCGTTCTCTGCCATCCCCTTCTTCTTTTGCCCTCAATTGTCCCCAGCATTAGGCTCTTCTCCAGTGAGTCCTTCCTTCTCATTAGGTGGCCAAAGTATTTGAGTTTCATCTTCAGGATCTGGCCTTCTAAAGAACAGTCAGGGTTTTATCTCCTCTAGGACTGACTGGTTTGATCGCCTTGCAGTCCAAGGGACTCACAGGAGTCTTCTCCAGCACCATAGTTCAAAGGCCTCAATTCTTTGGCAGTCAGCCTTCCTTATGGTCCAACTTTCACAGCCATACATTGCAACTGGGAAAATCATAGCCTTGACTATGCGCACTTTCGTTGGCAGGGTGATGTCTCGGTGTTTTTAGTATGCTGTCTAGATTTGCCATAGCTTTCCTCCCCAGGAGCAAGTGTCTTTTAATTTCTTGGCTGTAGTTCCCATGTGCGGTGATCTTGGAGGACAGGAAAATAAAATCTGTCATTACCTCCATTTCTTCCCCATCTATTTGCCATGAATTGAGAGGGCCGGGTGCCATGATCTCAGTTTTCTTAATGTTGAGAAAAGCTGTTTCTGTTAATTAGCAAGAGGAAAAAGGAATTATTTTTTTACTATTGGTATTAAACCTAGTACTGCCTTAAGTACAAAATCCTTGAGTCAGGTACGGTATGTCTTTCTTTCTTTCTAGAAAGAAAAGTGGCAAATGGCTTTTGAAATATTGCCAAGAAAACTACAGAGGCTTGTCTAGGCAGAAGGTAGAAGTGGTTTGAGGCACATACATACATACATACATACATACATACATACACACACACACACACACACACACTTCTATAGCAATCACCTTTCTTTATTATATGTATATTCATCATCCCTCCAAGATGCTCAGAAACAGCTCATGTGGGTCTCACTATAACTGCTATGCAAACAACTTGTTGTGGTGTGCATAGCAGTTGATGATGAATATACATATAATAAAGAAAGGTGATTGCTATAGAATTACTGCGTTAGTCAGAGGTCAGGAATAGAACCAATGTATTACAGCAATAGAGCCGATACCAAGAGAGTGAAAAGAGCTGAAGGATGGAGAGAACTGGCAGTACATCACAGAACAAATTAAACAATTAGGGCAAAGCTCTTTGTCTTACCCTGATACTTGCCTTGGATGAAGATCCTCATATGAAGAGCCAGATTCTGATTTCTGAAGCCACTAGACTAAAATGACTGTTGTAGACAATAACTGTAATTCTATAATATTGTCAGCGCTCCAAACTATGATTTCCCCAGTGCTGACATGAATGAGTGAAAAAAAAAAATGAAAGAGAAAGAACCTGTTACAAGTAGTAGCTTGGCTTTTCACCCAGTTCTTTTCCCCGGCAGATAACATCACCTAGGTGATGGGGGGAGGGGGGAATTCCTGTGACTTGAAGTAGTTGAGATGAAAGATGGACTTGGAAGATGGCCAATGAGACACTGAGATTTGAGGAACGGAAAGGGAGGGGTTTGGGATCAGAGGATCAGTTTCGGCTGCAAATGAGTTCAGGACTAGATCGTTATTCTTCAATAAATAAGAGATTTCATCAAAGACTTTGTGTTTGAGAATGAAATTTATTTGAGATAACATCGGAAACTGACAAATATCACTCTAGCATTTCTCTAGAAATTCTTCCTTTTGTGAATTGCAACAATTCAAGAAACTAGATCAACTAAGGTCAAAAGAAATATTAGAATAACCTTGGTCGGAATGGACCTTGGAAGTCTTTTAGTCCAACTCCCTGCTCAAGCAGGAGATCCTATGCCATTCCAGACAAGTGGCTGTCCAATCTCTTCTTAAAAGCCTCCAATGATGGAGTACCCACAACTTCTAAAAGCAAGCTGTTCCCTGGTTAATTATTCTCACTGTCAGGAAATTTCTCCTTAGTTCTAGGTTAGTTCTCTCTCCTTGTTTAGTTTCCATGCATTGCTTCTTGTCCTGCCTTTGGCTGCTTTGGAGAATAAATTGACCCCCTCTTCCTTGTGGCAGCCCCTCAAATATCTCTGCCTCCTGTTTTGATTTATTCACTGAATTTTTTGATAAAATCTAGTAATCATTATTATTAAAAAGGATTGCACTGTGAGATTTTGGCCAGCTTAGTACCTTTTAGAGAGATTTGTATAGCTAGCATGTGATTGTTTGGCTTTCTTTTATTGGAATTAAAAGGAAAATGATATAACAGTTCTTGAAAATGTCAGCAATAGAAGGCTGGTGAGGAATTACCCTATGATAAGATGGGTGGCTAAAAATGTATAAATAATAAATATAAGCAAGCAAGCAAGCAGGCAAGCAGACAAACTAATATTAATTAATTAATTCTGGAAGTTGATCCATACATCAGATGCCTTTTGATTTTAATGATACATCATCGGTTGCTGAAAAGCAGAAGAGAAAAGAGAAAATTTGATTTGAACTACTTTCTTATTTGTTATACATATTATACTTTGAGACTATCCCTGTAAAAATGCTGGAATGTAAAGCAGGAGACTTCTGGGTTGAATTCGGTCTATTAATTTTTTTTCTGAAGGAATTTCATTTGGAAGGAAGGAGGGAAGGAAGGAAGGAAGGAAAGAAGGAATGGAGAAAGAGAGAAAGGGAGAAAGGGAGGGTAGGAGGGAGGGAGAGAGGAAAAAGGAAAGAAAGAAAGAATGAAATCTAGAATAGAATAGGACAGAACAGAACAGTTTAGTTGGTAAAGAGTGATTGGACACATAAGGAATTTATGTGATGCAGAAGCTCTTGATGTAAATACAAATAACAAAATAATATAATCATAACAATGATATCAATAAGGGAAGGTAGTAGAGGATAATAGAAGGAAGGGAGGCAGGCAGGGAGGAAGGAAGGAAAGACAGAAAGAAAGAAGAAAGAAAGAAAGAGAAAGAAAGAAAGAAAAGAAAGAAAGAAACAAAGAGAAAGAAAGAAAGAAAGAAGGAAAGAAAGAAAGGAAGGAAGGAAGAAAGAAAGAAAGAAAGAAAAAAAGATTGGCCGCGTCTCCATCTCCACCATAGTTAACAATATATTACTATCTGTTTAACTCCTGGCAACAAAAGCTGGAATCATTTCATGGAATCATTTGATAAAGTAATTACTTGGAGATATTAAATCATGGCCGTCAAAATGCCTCTTGTTTAAAAATTCATTCACCTCTCGTAGTTTGACCTGTTGACTTTTTAAGGCATCTCAGCTTTTGAACGTATTCCAGCCGGAGGGCATGCATTTAGATACTCAACCCCATTCCCATTGAAGTCAAAGGAAATTTACATCCTGGGTTTCTCCTTTGGCTTTCCGTTTGAGGCAGGTGGCACAATGCCATCCAGATGATTATACCCACCTTGTCTCTTTCCCCTGTATGTTCTGATTAGCCCGGTGATCAAACATGGAACAAATTTGCCCTAGTTTGAAAAGCATTCAGCTCGCCTTATGCGAGAGCTGCCTTTGAAAAAAATAAGAAATGGCATCCATATACATATTTTACATGGATGAATATTACAAGACATGCCATTAGCTGCGGTAGGGAACTCAATCAGTGGTGGAAAGGAGGAGGCTATGATTAAAAATTTATGGGCAGAAATAGAGAGACCCCACTGCTGTTTCCATCCATGAGGGAGAAACCTTAATACTTACAAACGTTAACCTCCCTGAAAGCAAGACGCTCTCGCATGCCACAATGGAGGTGGTTAAACCCACACAAATCTAAAATGCTTGCAACGGGTTACTCTTATTATTACTCTTACTCTATTCCGTTATAATAAATATAAAAGATTAAACAAGCCAGTGAAAATGAAACTGCGTTACAGTGCTTACAGGCACCAGCAAAGCCCCCAGACTCCTCCCTGGGTACCCATTAGGCACCCTATCCCATCTGATTATTTTTTAATGATTCTTTTAAATGAAAAAATAAATAGGGAGCTGTCATGTTCGAAAGCATTAGCCTCTAGCAGCCTATCTATTTGCAGTACTGCCTTTAGGCCTCGTAAAAACAAAAAAAACAAAACAAAAAAAACCCCTCACCAGGATAGTAGAAAGTATCCAGGGAAAAGAGCTGCTATCCCTTCTGGTAAAGTGGATTATTTGTGTCTCTCATGACAGCCATTTTGTGAGTGGAGTCACCTATGCTCTCAACATACATTTTAAATATGCCCTTAAGCTCCAAAGGTTTATTTGATCTTGATTTATAGAACAGGGGGAAGAAAAGCCCCTAGAATTCTGTGTTTTCAGTCCAAAACTGGATACCTTGAGGGGTCTCTTCTTCTTTTTTCCTTTATTGCCCATATTCCATCTCCTTTGAAGTGTTAGGTAAGCAGCCTGAAGGGTGGTATGGAGACTCTATGGAGGGAAATGTTTCGCTTCATTTGTGGAAACTTGGTTGTTGCTCATTCCATGAATGAGCAACATTTTCCATCCATAAGAGTGTCTGCAGTCCATAGCAGTCTAATCTAAAGGACTGGATAAAGCCAATCCAGGTTATCTAAGGCCACACTCAATCAACATCTCCTAAAAATAATAAAAGCGACAGTTCCGAAAATCATTTAGTTGGGATTTTGTCTAACAGAATTTTGGAAACAATTATGGTTGATTGTTTATTACAGTTTCATTCAGGGGTGGGCTTCAAGGGTTCGCAGGGGTTTGGCAGAACCTCTAGCTAAGATTCTGTACAATTTGGAGAACCCCCAAATCCCAGCCCCACTCAGCACTCCCCTCCCATGTGGCCCGTTTTGGATGCAGGTAAGTGCAGGCTGAAAAAGGGTG